TTATCAAGACGACAAAGGAAATGTACAACAATTAAAAGTATAGAATCCCGGATCTAAGAGTATTAAATGGGTCGGGGTCTAAATCAGAACCGTTATACTGAAATTACATTGACCTTCTTCACTTTTTTTAACATTGTCAAGATTTTCCTTTCCCATTAATTTAGCCCAAACGATGTTAACTTAGTTGTGTAAATGACCATAATACCCTTTAAATACTACTCATAACCTCAAGGGAACTAAGTTTAATTTATCTATATATTAATCATTTTATTTCTCACAATTTTTTATTTTTATTTTTATTATTTATTTTTTATTGTATTTCCTTGACATTGTTCTCTTTTCCGCTATAATTTTTGAACTTTTATAAGTTAAAAAAAAAAAACCATTAATGAAAGTAAGAAAGAATATTCATGTTTCTTGTTTGAATTAATTTTGATATTTAATTTAATAAAAATAATTTAAATGAGAGAAACAAAGATGTAGTATTTTATTATTTTCAAATAATTTATTTTTTCAAGTAAAATTTCATTTTAATTAGATCTAAGAAATGACAAATTTAAATAGTTTATTATTTTTAAATAATTTCCTTATCTTTCATTCCCTATCAACTAATTTTAATTTATTGTAATGTGATTTGATATTTTTTTACTTTCATATTTATTTTTAAATTTTTTGTTAATAAGGTGAGAAATATTGACCTTTTTTTTTTTTAATATCCATTGATTGGAAATTGAAATTTGAGAATAATTTAGGATTGTAAAAAGATAAAAATGATAATTTTTTTTAATATATTTATGAGGTAGCATTTGGCAAATTTTTATAGGTTAATTTTTTTTATTATAAATTTGAAATTTTATTATGTTTATTTTTCTTTAAAAAAATTCAACACACAAATATGTTTACAAACAAAAAAAAAATTCATGTTTCGTAAGTTGCTATGGTATTGGATGATGCTAGCTAGCATTGACGAGAGAGAAAAATGATGAAAAAATAGAGGAAAGAGGATGAGAGAAGAGAACAAATAATAATAATAATAATAAATTATGTGATGTTACTATTGGTTGCAGTGACACTATAAAAAAATAAATGAGGGAATAAATAAAAAGAAGAATGAAAGAAATAAAATAAAGGGATAATTTCTCCAAATAGAGGTATTTTTCAAACATGTATTTTTAGATTTTATCCAAACTCTAATTTCTCAAAATAGGTATTCATAAAATTGGCGGTCTTTTTAAAAAATAAAAATTGATATCTTTTATATTTTGTTTTGTAATTTTCAAATAAAGGACTGTATTTAATTTAGTACAAGGTTTGATGGTGATTAATTTGTTGGCCTTTTCTTTGTTTCTTTTTTTTTTTTTAGATAAGGTAATGTGTAGTTATTCTACTATATATATGCTTGCCATTATAAAGGTTTTGGTTCTATGTAATGAAATGAGCAACGATTTTCTTTTATAATAGAGTGAATTTCTATTTATTGTTTAAACACGTTTTATTGATCTAAGTTAGAATTTAATAACACATGTAAGATATAATACGTTAATCTCTAATTTTTATTATTATTATAGATTTATGTATATTGATGAACCGAATACGATAGGCTTAAGATTCTCTCACGCTATAGAGCAAAACATAGAGCATTGAAAACATATCCAAATTATAGAGTAAAACATGACACATGATCCAAGTACAAATATATGTAATATTCAAGGATTACCCCATGGATCCAAGGAGTTCATTTTTTAAAAATAAAAAATAAAGAAGTTAATTTGTTTTAACTTTATTAAAAATAATTCAAACAATAAATACGTTAGTTCAAATGATAAATTTTACGTTGTTTATGTAGTATGAAATAAATCTACTGTGAAATTATTAAGGTATTATCTATGATATCATTAATTTTAGAGATATGACTTCTTTTTAAATATTTTATCAATGAAAATTATATATTTTTTTTGTTAAATATTTTTATAATATCTTAACAATTTAGAATTTTTTTTAAATATTCTATAGAATTTAATAATTTTGTTCAATATTATTAAAATAATGCATGGGTCTTTATTAATTTTTTGTAAAACCTCAAAAGAAGTGAGTGAAATTTACTATTTGAATATATAAGGGCAATCTTGGAATTTTTGAGTCATAATGCATGATATCAGTATATTCTGTTAAATAAACTAATAGAAGATTAACGATGGGAGAATCTTAATAACAGTTTCAAAAGTAAGGAAGGTTTCTGTAAATATTGAAACCATAAGAGAAGTCCTTACAATTATCAGAAACCTCAAGGAGGTAAGTGTAATTTATCCCGTTACTTTCAATGACATTTTGCATGGGTCATGCATCCAAGAAAGCAATTTTTTCTTTTTTCTTTTTTTAAATTTTACGGTGGCAATTGCAATGGTTGTCATTCCATTGGACTGATTCAGTTCTGCGATTTTGTACACTCAATTGAGAGATTAGATCTTCAATCTTTGTCAAGCTCAAAATTACAAAGATTGGTAGTGTTGGGTTTGTGATTTGTATTGATTGTCCAATTTAATTTAATTATTTTGATATTTACAAATATTTTCTTATCGATTAGATTGGCCCAATCCATTAAGAGAAACTTCAGAGTCCACACACGTAATATCAGAGTCTAACATATATTATTTAAAATCCGTACCTACTGAAAAACTTAAACAGTATAAGTAGAGAGTCCATCTAATAATGTATATTCAAACTGGGTGTGACTTCACTCAAATTATCATCTCAATTTGAGAGAACGTTTGTTCTTAATAGACCCATTTTGAAACTGATTTCGATGATTCAAACCGTTCACTTTTTAAGATTTATTAAGTAGAATATTTACGCAAAAAATAAAGATAATTGGACATTGGTGGTTATATGTTAGATTTATATTTATTTTTAAAAAAATAGACGATAAAAATAATTTTAAGAATAGTCATTTATTTTTTGTAATACAATTTAAATAAATAACTATCGATATTTGATCATTTTTATTTTTTACATGAATATTCTATTCAACAAATCCTATTAAGGCCTAACAAATAATAATTTAGATTACTGAAATCGATCCCAAAATAGCCATACCAAACTCAAACGCGGTCTCACATGTATACTTCATTGAACTTGGGAGGTGTTGAGGCACGGGATCAGATTCCATATCTAACATAACAATTAATTCATTATTTGGTGTGGAAATTAATGTTGTGTTTAGTTGGGGGATTTGATGAAGGATTTGGAAAGGGAAAGGAAAAAGGTATGTGAAACTAAGTGAAATATAGGCATGTTTTATTCGCATTTCACTTACTTTTTTCATTTCTTTTTCTAAATCCCTCTCCAAATCTCCCAACTAAACACAGTATAAAGGTATTACGATTAGGCTATTAGTCCCTCATGTGGGACAATTCTATTCTGGGGGCTGGGGGATAAAAAAGCTAGAAGAGAATTGAGCTCTCAATTATAGTAAATTGACCAAATTGGCCCCAAATGCTAAACAACTTCATTAGATGATATTCAATGAATTTCTCACAAAATAAAAATGGTGCTTTAATACTAATAGTTACAAGTACTTGATTTATTAGATGATGCTTAATTGTTGTGGTTATGATTACAAAATATAAAAAATAGTTAATAGTAACGTGTAAACAAGGAAAAGGGATCAACAAAGTCTTAGAAAATTTGATGTCTAGTAAATTATTACAGGGGAGTTCGTTGATTGAAAAGGGGGATTACACCAAATTGATATAGTTGCTATATACATGTTGATAACAAAGGAGTTTGCTAAATATATTTACAAGATATATTTGGTGATTGAGACACCAAACTAATATATTTGTTAAAATATTAATTTGTAATTATTACAATGAGTATACTATCTTATTAACTATATTACAGGGGATCAACAAATATTGCACTTGGGATTCTCAATAGAATTTAATTTTTTTGCTGGTTAACAAAAAAAATTATTAAGACTGAAACATGTTACAAGCCCCACTCAAAATAAAGAAATAAATAAATAAAATTTTAAAAGTCAAATTTAACATTGTCTTATTTAGTAAATAATTGACAAAAGACAAAATAGCCTTTTGAATAATTATCTTTCTTTACATTTTTAAATAAAAATAAAATTCATTAGAATAATCATTTCTAAATATTATCTCATGACATAACAAATAGGGTAAATCATACAAATAGTTCTTATAGTTTACACGATGTGTCAATTTGATCCATGTTGTTTTAATTTGTTCAATTTTACCCCTTAATTTAACAAATTGTGTCATTTTAGTCCAATAAATAACGATTGTTAAGTTTAGTGGACGGAAAGTCAAACTATATGTCAAACTATATATCAATTTGGTTCTTGTAGTTTACACAATATGTCAATTTAGTCCATATAGTTTACACAATGTGTCAATTTAGTCACTGTCAAAATCGAGCAAATTAAAATAATATGGACCAAATTAACACATTATGTACACTACAGGGACCAAAATTGAGACATTATGTAGACTTTTCATCCACCAAACTTAACAACCATTATTTATTGGACTAAAATGACACAATCTATTAAATTAAGGGACAAAATAGAGCAAATTGAAATAACATGGATCAAATTGACACATCATGTAAACTATAGAGATCATTTACATAATTTACCCTAACAAATATAAGATACACATCATATCCAGCTAAATATCTACAACCAAATAATCCCAGGGCTAAGACAACGTTTGATAACCTCAGACAGAAAAAAAAAAAAAAAAAAAAAATGTTTTTACATCAGAAAAAAAAAAAAAAAAAAAAAAAATGATTATGCAAATTATGAGAGGAAAGAAAAAAAAAATAAAAAAATTGCAATTTCTCTCCTTATTTGAATAAACAAGACACAGAAAAAATTATCAAATTACCTTTAATAAGTATTAGTCTTTTTTTTTCTTCTATATTTAAAATGATAGTTTTAGTATTATAACAAAATAGTATTTAGTTAGTTTCCTATATCTCACAATCTCTCCAGCTTTGGAGAGATTCAAAATAGAGGTTATAAGATAAATAAATTTTTCTTAATTTTTTTCTCATTTCTCTTCATTTATCTCTTCTTTTATTATATGGACTAAAAAAAATACATTTATTTTTTCAGTTCCAAGTCATCCAATACAAGCAATCCATTAAATTATATTCACTCATTATCCAGTCCGTGAAGCGAAGAGAGCCTTCAAAACTTTATCAATTTCTTGAGCTATTGAAAATGTATTACAGGGTGAGATTTTGGAGACAGGCCTGACTTTGATTCATATTCTAATTGGATGATACTTTAAGTTTCGTGTCAGACAGGGTGAGTTTTAAGTAGGTCCCATTTTCCTTAATATAAAGCAGTTTGCAAGCCCCCAAACTCAACCATCCCACCCCATCATCACCACTCTCAACTCTACAATTCTCTTTCTCTCTGTTTATACATTATTATCATATCATATGTCTCTTTTCTCAACAGAGGAATAAAGACATTCCCTTTTCATTTCTATACAGAGAAAACTAAAGAACAAAAGTGCAAAAACATAGACAAAAAGTGCACTATTTGATTTCATCTTCTTTTTTTTTCTTTTGGCTTTTCAATGTTGAGAATCATGAAAATGTTACTGTCCATAGCCCTGTTTTTGTGGCTCTGTTTTTCTTCTTCTGTGACAGCCTCTGTGTCATATGGTGGCAGAGCCATCATCATTAATGGCCAAAGAAGGATTCTCATTTCTGGTTCAATTCACTATCCAAGAAGCACCCCTGAGGTACCATTCCAATTCACACACATTCATATCTATACATGTACACTGTTATATTTGTTTCTGCAGATTTTTCATGCCTTTGTTGTTGATGGGTATTTCCCAACTTTTTCTTTTTCTTTTTCTTTTTTTTTTTTTGAAAAATGAGCAAATAAATCGATCATACAATCGTGTCAACTCAAAGTTTGTGTTTGATTTTGTTTACGTAGAATATTGTGTCATATAATCTGACACAATTTTGTTAAACTAGTTGGGCTCCAACAGAAGATTATGGGCATGTTTGGTGCAGCTGATAATCAGAAAATATAAGCTAAGAACATTTTTTCGCTATTTCTCAATAGTAATTTTTTCTTAACTTATTTAAGTTAATCGGTAAGTAAAAATTGTTCTAAAACACTTACAGATTTCCAAAAAAAAAAAAGGATGAAGAAGATGAAGGAGAAATGAGAAGATATAAGGAGGTCATGAGTTGCACCAAACTGCATTTGTGTCCGATTTTGTGATTATATTTGGTGCACGTACAAGAGTAGTTATTTTTTGTTTTTGTTTTTGTTTTTGTTTAGTTATTATTATTATTATTATTATTATTATTATTATTATTATTATTTTTATTATTATTATTATTATTATTATTATTATTATTATTATTATTATTATTATTATTATTATTATTATTATTATTATTATTATTATTATTATTATTATTATTATTATTATTATTATTATTATTATTATTATTATTATTATTATTATTATTATTATTATTATTATTATTATTATTATTATTATTATTATTATTATTATTATTATTATTATATATATATATATATATATATATATATATATATATGTATATATATAAAGCTTTTTTAAATTGAAAATATCATAATTTTGTTCTATAATAATTTTCAGTATAATTTCGCCGGGAGGTATGATCTAGTTCAATTCATCAAGGTAGTGCAACAAGCAGGCCTTTATGTTCATCTCCGAATCGGCCCTTATATTTGTGCTGAATGGAATTTTGGGTAATTCTTACACCATTCATAACATATATTCTTTTATTTGTACATATTGTATGTTATATTCAATCATTTCTCTGTTTTTTGCTCTGTTTTGAAACAGGGGATTTCCTGTTTGGCTGAAATATGTTCCAGGCATTGCTTTCAGAACAGACAATGGTCCTTTCAAGGTTTGTCAACTCAAATGAACTGTTTTTCCTGTTTTCAAAATGGTTGGTAGGTTCGTATATTAATTTACTAATTTTTATTTTTTTGTATATTTATGTTTGACTGTGTTTTAAGGCGGCAATGCAAAAATTCACAGAGAAAATTGTCACCATGATGAAGTCAGAAAACTTGTTTCAAACTCAGGGAGGTCCAATTATAATGTCTCAGGTTTGAAAATTGCCTCATTCCTAGTCTTTACTATGCGTCTAGAAATGATTTTTGTAATTGTTTTAATTATTTCTCTTTTTTTAATTGAAAATGACAGATAGAGAATGAATATGGACCAGTAGAGTGGGAAATTGGGGCACCCGGTAAAGCTTATACGAAATGGGCAGCACAAATGGCTGTCGGTCTTAACACCGGTGTCCCATGGGTTATGTGCAAACAAGAGGATGCTCCCGACCCAGTTGTAAGCGATTCTGATTCTTTTTGAAAAAAGAAAAAAAATATGTGCACAGAAATCGGTTCCCTTGTGAGGGTTCTGTAACCAGTTTCTGTGCACGTGAAAGCGTCGTTTTCTTAATATACTGTTTTTTTTTTTTGTCATTTTCATCCCTAGGTGGTAGTTACACATTGTCTTTTCCACTTGGGGTAGCCTTGAATGGAATGGTGATGATACAATTCAGTTATTAAGGGTCCCCCATCTATTTTTTTAATGTTTATTTTTCTTTCATTTTCTCTTGTCTTAGAGTTCAGAAAAATATAAAAAGATCAGGTTGTCTTTTTGTTTCTTCATAAGAATATTTGGGTTGAGATGTCAATTTCTTTATTAAATTGAAAAATAACAAATAATTGAGTGATTAATTTAATAAAAGAAGCTTCTACTCTCTTCTCTCTCTCTCTCTCTCTCAAACAATCAATGCTTTTGATCTTTTCACAGATAGATACTTGCAATGGTTTTTACTGCGAAGGCTTCAAACCGAACAAGGATTACAAACCGAAAATGTTTACTGAAAATTGGACTGGCTGGTAAGTCACAGTTGATACTTAATACCCAACCAAAACTCTCTTCTTCTTTCTTTATTCTTTTTTAATTTTGGGAGTTTTCTTTGTGGTTAATTTAAATTGTTTGGTCACACAGATATTAAAACACTCCTTCAAGTTTATCCGATTCCTTTCTTATGCTCTTTCTTCTCATTCCTCTGTTTCCTCTGTTTTGTTTTTTTCTCAGGTACACACAATTTGGTGGTGCAGTTCCGTACAGACCTGTTGAAGACTTGGCATTTTCAGTTGCTAGGTTTATACAAAATAATGGTTCATTCATGAATTATTATATGGTAAGTCAATTCCAATTTATTTTATTTATAGAAATAAATCAGCCCGTGTACAATGATTTTTTTTTTTTCTTCTGTATCAGTACCATGGCGGAACAAATTTTGGGCGGACAGCTGCTGGTCTCTTCATCGCCACTAGCTATGACTATGATGCTCCGATTGATGAATATGGTACGATACCCGAAGAAAAAAAAAACATGCGTGTATAGACACACATATATTGTGAGATCATCAGTAGGATTATCGTGCATGTACATATGATAGAATAATTTGTTATCTTGAAGGATTACTAAGAGAACCAAAATGGGGGCATTTGACAAATTTGCATAAAGCCATCAAGCAATGTGAACCAGCTTTGGTTTCCTCATATCCCACAGTGACTTGGCCTGGCAATAATCTAGAGGTAGATTAAGCAAAAGCTATGAATATATACTGTGGTTTTCGACATTTGTAGCTTTTTCGACAATTGAAACTCACTCTTTGTTGATTTATTTTTCATTTCTAGGTTCACGTGTTCAAGACGAGGTCGGCTTGTGCTGCATTCCTTGCCAACTACGACACCAACTCTCCGGCAACAGTGACCTTTCAGAATGCACAATATTACTTGCCTCCTTGGTCTGTCAGCATTCTCCCTGACTGCAAAAATGCAATTTTCAACACCGCAAAGGTAGGGAAGTTTTCTTTTCTTTTCTTTTTTTTTTACAATCTTTTAACAATTATTTAATGCTTATCCAAGTCATCCTTGTAATATCAGATGTGTGACATAGTTTTCCTCATTTAAAAGCTTCTGAAACGGATTTTAACATTCAATCAAAATTGTTTACAGATTACCGCTAGTAGTTATCAGCCAAAGATGACACCAGCGAGTGGTGGATTCTCTTGGCAGTCCTCCACCGAGCAAACAGTCTCTGCTGATGATTCAGACACCATTGCAAAAGCTGGGTTGTTGGAACAAATAAGCGTCACAAGAGATACTTCGGACTATCTCTGGTACCTGACAAAGTGAGTATTGTTTAATTTGTTTTAGTATATAGTTCAGGCATAATTTTTATCCCAAAAAAAAAGAAAAAAAATTCATTGTAGTCTAGTTTGAAACTTGACAATGATTTTCTTGTTTCGGGAACTTTGTTGCTCATGCCAGTGTGAATATACAACCGGGTGAAGGATTCTTAAAGAACGGGCAGTATCCTACACTGACCATTATGTCAGCAGGTCATGCTTTGCACGTTTTCATCAACGGTCAACTATCAGGTAAATGAACTTACTTAGTAATTTTAACAAAAAATGGAAAAGACATTCATGAAATGAGCTTTAACCTGTATGTTGATTTACTAATACATGTTTTTGGCAGGAACCGTGTTTGGGTCGCTAGAGAATCCAAAACTGACATATAGCAGCACTGTGAAGTTGAGAGCCGGAATTAACAAGATTTCTTTACTAAGTGTTGCTGTTGGCCTTCCGGTTAGTCTTCTGATAAAAGTTTAGATTCTTAAGATGTTAATGACAGTAATGGAGTCCATCTAAATTTTATTGGATCGATTTCAGAATGTTGGTGTGCATTATGATACATGGAACACGGGGGTTCTTGGCCCGGTCACACTGAAAGGCCTCAATGAGGGGACAAGAGACTTAACAAAGCAACAGTGGTCTTACAAGGTTTGTTTTTGTTTTCATGAGTTTTCTGCTTCCATTTTCTGTTTCCAAGTATACTCTACATTTCAAAATGGTAAAAGTCCGAGGCAATGATGAAACCAGTAAGTTTCCTTCAAAATCGATTGGTGAAAACAATAATAAAGGGATACCAGAATTTATCAGAAGATAATAATAATAAAGGGATACCGGGATGAAAATAAAGCATGATATGGGAAAAGAAGTTATATAGTTCATAAACAAGCAATAAAAATTAAGATTGATGTTTCTATGTAGGTTGGTCTAAAAGGCGAGGGCTTAAAACTGCATACACTTGATGGAAGTTCCTCTGTTGAGTGGGCTGAGGGATCACTATTGGCTACAAAACAACCCTTGACATGGTACAAGGTAATAATCATCCCAAACCCCCTGTTAACGCCTTTTTGTTGATACTTATAAGTTCCATTATCCATAGCTGCACAAATGAATTCATATAAGAAGCTTTTAATTCATTGAACAATCTTTCCAGACTACATTCAACGCACCAGCAGGAAATGATCCATTAGCTCTGGATATGAATACCATGGGAAAAGGTGAAGTATGGGTAAATGGTCAAAGCATCGGGCGCCACTGGCCCGGATACAAAGCAAATGGTAACTGTGGTGCCTGCAGCTACGCTGGAACTTTTACCGAGAAAAAATGTAGATTTAATTGCGGACAATCCTCTCAGAGATGGTAAGAAATTTTACAGGTTACTATGATGTCTGTTGTTTTTCTGCATATTCTAGAAAATGTGATGAGGTTGTCGATTTCAGGTACCACGTGCCACGCTCATGGCTGAAATCAAGTGGGAATTTGTTGGTTGTGTTTGAAGAATGGGGCGGTAATCCAACCGGGATTTCAGTGGTTAAAAGAACATTTTAGGATGATTGGTGTTCAAGTGATCTGCTTGGGTTGGAGGTTCAACTGTACAGTCATATTACATATATACCATTTCGCTGAATATAGAATCAAAAGGTGATTTGCAAAAAATAAAGTTCCTATATATATATATATATATATAAATGAGCTGTTGTGGTGTTCAATTATGCCTCATACATATAGAGGTGGATGTGGCGAAATACAGTCAAATTCAAAGGTTTCAGTGTGTAGAAGTTTTTAGGCCAAAAGGCCTTCAGCTCCTGGGGAAAATTTCTCAGAGATGCTGTTTCATAGCTTTTTCTATGTAAAAGTAAATTAATAATCTGTGTAATAAGAGGTGTTTCAAGCATTAATCTTCAGTGCTCTCTCTCTCTCTCTCTCTCTGTGTATGTTATTATATTACAGAACTTGAGTACTTTTTGTACATAAGCCTTGATGATGACATTAGAACAAACTTTACCCTTTTGTGAGTGCACTTTCATTTTTTGACCCCAAATTTGCTTTCTATAATTATTATTTAAATTTTTTTTTGGATAAATGTGTCCCGAGGGGAAACCGAACATAAGATATGAGTTCCTCAAGTGTCCACAACATTTCTTGCAAAAAATTAACATAATGTGGCATATCGAACAGATGGACATATGTCCGCAACGTGTCAGTATTCGATACATGTTGGACATGGATTGCATAACAGAGAGTTTATTTACCAAATTAACATTTACCCAGCAACATAGATTGCATAATTTAGCAATATCTACAGATTTATGAGTACTAAAACTGGAAATTGGAAATATAACTCCACAAAACCACTAGGTCCCTCTAATTTCCCCAAAACATCAGCCCACACTCCAATCAATTCAGCACAATCACGGCTTGAAATTCCAATACCAACCCACAAAAACTCTGTTTTATGAAACCGCAATGCCTTGCAAGTAATCAACAAAGACAGAACAGTAACAACTGTCTTCACCAGTTATTCGATCGCCAGATCAAACACCTAAACAACCCACACAGTCACTTAAAACTAGGGTTTATTTCACTTTTATCCCGTAAAATATTGTCATTTTTTTCCACTTCCTTCCTAAACTATTAATCCATCTACTTAGTCCCTAAAGTTAGTAATTTCGGCTGATGTGGTTCAATTGGATATGGTTGTCAAAATCAATAACCGAAAAACCTAATTTAATGGGTACAAAATTCATTTCAAAATTTGAACAACTTAAATCATATAATCGAACACTTTCACTGTTTTGAAATGAGAAGTAGAAAAGAAGATGGGTTTTTGGTTGTAGGGTGTAAGTTGTCCAATGTGTGTTTGGTTGTATGATTTAGGCTGTCTAAATTGTAAAAGTACTTGCTTGTCACCATTCTTGATTTGGATGAAGTATCTCCTATTGGACCATATGAACTAAAATCAGAAATTTTAGGGACTAAATAGATGAAATTGATAGTTTAGAGATAAAATTGAAAAAAAAAAAAAAAAAAAAACTCTTAAAACTAACAACTTTCCAGTTAAAGGCAACACTAGATGGTTCAAAGTAAAAGCTTTTGAGTGAGGGCTGACCTGTGGAGCTTTGAAGCACATCAAAGAGAGTGCACTGTCCAAAACCCTAACTCTAGAACTGTGCTCCAAGTTGAGAGATTGATTAAGCTTCGAGACCGAGAGATCAAGGGCCTCTTGTTGTTGATCTTCACTTAGGAAAGTTGGATTTAGGGTTTGCAGGTTCGTTGCGAGTGGCGCTAAGAGATCAGTTATTTTTTTGCATCACAAAAATAGTGCCCAAACTAATTTTTTTTTTTGAAGAAATTACAAAAATAAGGGTAAATTACGCCGACGGCCCTGAAGTTTATGTTTATTACAATTCTCTCTCATATTTGAAAAATTATACTGACTCCCTATTAGTGTAATTATTTAACGGTGTTAACTTTTAAGTTAAAATGACATATTTATCCTCAACCTTTACATATACTTTAAAGGGTAAATTACATTGACACTCCTGAGGTTTCAATTTAATACGGATCCCCATTGGCATTTAAAAAAAAACTAATTTAATGAAAACAAATATGAAGAAATATATTTAGTTTGTAAAAAATTATTTCTAACCACTTGAAAGATAAAAATTATATAAAAATGATAATTATTTTTTATTTTTTATTTCTTAACTAAATTAATTTTTAATTTTAAAAAAAAATTCTAAAAATCAAACCATACATAGCTTAAGAATCTTTTGATAAGTCATTTCTCACGTTTGTAACTTATTTAATTAGTTTTTAATTTTACGACATTTTTACGATCTGAGACCTATTTGGTAATAATTTCTTTTTCAGTTTTCAATTTATATTTACAAAATTTTTAAAAACTATCATAAAACTTAGTTGATAATTTTTTTGGTTTATAAATGGTTGTCTCAATTTGTAAATTTGAGGAAAAAATATAAATTCAAAAAATGATTTTACATTGGTTTTTAAACATAAATTTAAAAATTTAACTAACAAAATTTTTTTTCAATTAATTTTTTTTCCAATTAAATTTTTTTTTCAATGAATTTTTTTTTCAACTAATACTAACCGAGAGGGTAATTGGTAATGCTACTTTAAACCATGGAGAGGGGATTGTAATTTTTAAAATGTGAGGGGTGTCAATGTAATTTACCCAATGAGAGAAAAATTGGTATTTAAAAAAATTAAATTACTGACATCAGCAAAATCTATTGATTGACTTAACAGTCAACTAACTGAGGGAGCAATTTATAATGAAACTTTAAACCTTAAAGAGGGAATATAATTTCTAAAAAGTGATAATGAACTATAATAAATATAAATATCATGAGCTGTAAATGTAATTTACTCTAAAAATAAAAAATAAAATCTTAGGATTTGACTTGGTGGCAAATCAACTCCTAAATTTTCAATTGTTTTGAAATGGTATTAATTCCCACCATCAATAATTAATGAAATTGAAGTAATCCAAACAATTTAATTACTTATTGTCGGGGCGGCGACATTGAATATGGACTGAGGAAGAAAGGAGAAAAGTGACAATGAGCTGGGAAATATGACGAATAGGGATGAACGGAAAAAAGAGATTGAGCGATAGTAGTGGATTGGGGAAGAAGATGTATGGTGATGGACAATAATTAGGGTAAGAGGTAGTTGTCAACAATAATGAAGGAGAAAAAAATAGATAAATTATCTAAAATGAAAGAGAAAAAAATAGATAAATTATCTAAATTGCTCTTACTTCATTAGTTATATAATGAATAGTGAGAATTTATACCATTTTAAAGTTTACGATTTAAATTAAAACAATTGAAAAATTATAATTTTATTTGTTATTGAGGTCAAATTTTGAGATTTTTTTTTTTTTTTGAATTTTCTCAATTTTATATTGAACATCCAAAAAATGATGTGATAGTTGAAAAACTACCTTGTATATAACATTACTCTTAATTGAAAGTATTAATCCAATTCAAAAATTATGTTTTGCAATTTCATAATTTAATTTTTTAATTTCAAATTGATCGTTAAAAAGGTATTATAAAGTCTTAAGACCTTTATTAAAGGTATTATAAAGTCTTATTCACACGTTGGAATTTTTAAAATTTTTAAAAGGAAAACTTTTTGTAAGTTTTAATACGAATATTGATATAATAGACAGTGAATCATTCAAATTCAAATGGGGATTGGAATTGTGCAATGACTTTTAATTTTGTGAATTGTTCTGGTTCCAGTTTTAGTTTACCCGCCATTTGTTTCATAACTTTAATTTGAGCTACATATCCAAGGAATAAATTGAGGGTAAAATGAAATTTATCCTTCCATTTATACAAACTATGAATTTCATGAAAATTAACTAATGTGTAAAAGCATTAAAATCATTTTTCCTTGGAACTATCATTGGTTCGCTTTGGAGGATATTTCTTCTCTTGTGAGAAACTAGTCATCTCCATGTGTCCTGATCATGACGCCGAGATGATCTCGACTAGGCCGAGGTTATATACAAATATAACGGAATGTGAGATAAGCGGATAAGGGACAAGAGTCCTAGAATGAGAGAGGACTTTAGTTTGGATAAAGATAGGACTCTTAGAGAGTTTATCCCAATCTAACTAGGAGTCCAGAATTAGCATTGAGCCAGAGTCCATTGAAGCTAGACTTCTATTGGGATTATGTTAGTATTGGCTATAAAAGAGAGGCATCATCGTGGGTCTAAGGTACGCTTTTTGTATTCTGAATAGTGAGTGAGTTAAGTACTTTTGCTATCTTTGAGAGATAACTGACTTGATCGTCGAATTGCCCCCGGGTGGACGAACCATCGTCGGAATCTTTTCTTTTTGTTGACAAGTCGTTCAGGCTTAATCTATTCTGCCAGTGTTCTCCAGCTGAGCACCTGTCTGGCAGTGTGGTCGGAAATTGACATACACAATTTGGCGCCGTCTGTGGAAACGATAGTGGAATAGATGGCTTACAACGGACGAAAAGAAAATGTTGGGGACGACATCCCTACTGGGAGTGGTAAACATATTGACCTTGACATCGAGGAAGATAATTGTAATAAAGAAACTCGGGATCCGAATCCCGGAGAGAAAGACGTCGGCAAGGAAGGCGACATACCAAAGAAATCAGACCGCAGCGGGTATTATAACGAGAACGACCTCCAGGTATAGAAAGATAGATGCATGCGGAGGGACGAAGAGATGAAGGAAATGGCAGACAAATTGGCGGACCTGCAAACAGTCGTCAATTTCATGATGCAGAACAACGTCATGCAGCCCCCGTTCCCATTACAAGATACACCGATTCCAGCGGCCAAGAACA